TCGGTATTCCGTCCACCAGGTTCAGATAAGATGTATCTGGATCTTAAAAAGCTATACTTGTGGCCTAATATGAAAGCAGAGATTGCTACCTTCGTAAGTAAATGCCTTACTTGCGCAAAGGTTAAGGTCGAGTACCAGAAGCCCTCCGGTTTACTACAACAACCAGAGATTCCAGAATGGAAGTGGGAGAGGATCACTATGGATTTCATAACCAAGTTGCCCACGACAACGGGTGGACTTGATACCATATGGGTCATCGTCGATAGATTGACCAAGTCTGCACACTTCCTGCCTATCAAAGAAACCGACAAGATGGAGAAACTTACGAGAACATACATTAGGGATATCGTACGGCTACATGGTGTGCCTATATCCATTATCTCCGATAGAGATAGTAGGTTCACCTCAAGATTCTGGCAATCACTACAACATTCCCTAGGAACAAGGCTAGACATGAGCACAGCCTACCATCCACAGACTGACGGACAGAGTGAGAGGACAATCCAGACTTTAGAAGATATGTTGCGTGCTTGTGTAATTGACTTTGGAAAAGTGTGGGATACTCATTTACCCCTCGTCGAATTTTCCTACAACAACAGTTATCACACGAGCATAAAGGCAGCACCATTTGAAGCCCTCTACGGCCGAAAGTGCAGATCCCCTCTGTGTTGGGCTGAGGTGGGTGATACCCAATTAGCCAGGGGCAAGCTTCCGAATGTACTCTCACCAATCCGAGATCATTCGGGAAACGACAGAGAAAATCGTTCAGATCCGTGAACGATTGAAAGCCTCTAGAGACTGACAGAAGAGCTACGCTGATAAACGAAGAAAACCTTTGGAATTTCAGGTGGGAGACCGAGTCCTTCTCAAAGTCTCAGCCTGGAAGGGCTTGATACGCTTCGGTAAGCGTGGGAAGCTTAATCCGAGGTACATAGGGCCTTTCGAGATTCTCGCAAGAGTCGGCCCCGTAGCTTACAAACTCGATCTACCTGACACACTTCGTAACATACATTCTACCTTCCACGTATCTAACTTGAAAAAGTGTCTGTCCGACGAGACTCTCGTAATCCCACTCGACGAGATCGAGATCAACGAGAGCCTCAACTTCGTGGAAGAACCTGTAGAGATCATGGACCGTGAGGTCAAGCAGACGAAACAAAGTCGTATCCCTATCGTGAAGGTTCGCTGGAACGCCAAGCGAGGATCGGAATTCACTTGGGAACGCGAGGATCAGATGAACTGAAATACCCTCATCTTTTCGCTTAGTTATTTGTAACTTTTCATTTGCTTAAATTTTAATTTCGGACGAAATTCCTTCTAACTGGGGGATGATGTGACAACCCGAAATTTCCATTCTATACAAACAGTATCACTTCAATAGAAGTTATAACAGTCATAGTCGATTTTCAGACTTTTCGTATAAGTTGGAGTAATTTAGGGTTTACACTTCAGTAAACATCAGGAGAGTGGATACGCTACGGTTTTGTGCAACACTGTTATTCCAACACTCAGGATATATTAGAAATCATTTCCGGAATAAAAATATTTTCTGTCAAAATATTTCAGGACTATAAATAGATTTCTGAACTAAATTCATTCATTATTCACATTTCCAACTAGAGAAAAGCCACTTTCTCTCTCACGGATCTTCGGGTTTTCATCCCAAATCGTGAGTCTACTTTCCTAAATGTGTTTTAATGCTTGTTATAACTTTATAACATTGTTTATATACAAATTTGTAAGATCCGGGAGTTTACCGCCCAAGAACGTTCTTGGGGAGTAAACTCCAAAACGAAGCCTAAAGGCTATCTAGTCCCATTTCCTTGTTAGGTAACTAGTTAAGGACATTATGTATGATCATTAGAGGCTAGAACACAATCAAGAACACATAGTTTAAGGAGTTCACGGCCCAAGAAATTCTTAGGCCGTAAACTCCAATTTCAAGGGACAAAATGTGCCCTAAATCACCCCTAAGGCTTTAAGACTTTAACCTCTATTACTTGTACTTGGAAGAGTAAAACACATCAAAATCATCCCAAAAGGGAGTTTATGGCCAAGAAATACTCTTGGGCCGTAAACTCCAAGTAAAGGCACAAAAGTGTGCCTAAAGTCCCCTTTAGCCTTAAACAAAAGTCTAGAAATTATCCTTTGTGTGCAAGAGGCTTGAATGAATTCAAACACCCACCCCATAGGAGTTTACGGCCGTAAACTCTAGGGGATATGGTCTTTTGGCCGTAAACTCCTCAAAGGAGCATTCTAGGGCCTTAAACTACTTCAAGGATTAATCTACCAATGCTAGGCTTATTCTAGAATTCATTTAGCACACTTAAACACCCAAAACCACCAAGACAAGAGTTCACGGCCGTAAACTCAAGGGTTTACGACCGTAAACTCCTTGTGTGGAGTTTAATAAGTAGTAAACACTTATACAAGGTCCTTGGAAGCTTTACACCCCTTTAACCTTGTCCCATAGCAACTTAGATGCAACCATTAGGACCTATAACACTTATACAAAGTGTTTACATGTTCCTAAGTGTCCCAACTTATTTGTTAAGTTATTATTGGCTAATTAGTTATATATATGCTCATTATATGATAACTAGGCTCGTGCGTGAACAAGTCTCCGTTTGCCACCTAGCACGGTACCCGATACTTCAATCCAATCCACTCACCACAAGTGAGTTCATACCCCTTAAATTAACCTTTGAAATGCTTTTAAATGTTTTAAATACTTTATGGGGGGATACAAGTTAAACACTTACAGTTATTACATCAATCACATGTGATTACATTAATCACATGTGATTAATAACTAGAAAACCAATGATTTTATCACTGTTCAAACTGTTTATCAAACTGTTTCACTTCAAAATGTTTTACAAACTCTTTTACTTATCAAATGCTTTTATTAAACTTTGTTTTACTTCTTATAAATTGCATGCCCATATATGTATAGATATATAAGAAATGTTTAAAGGGCTTAGGAAGGCTATCCACCCTATTTCCTTTTCGCGCATTGAGATGTGGTCTGGTGGGATTTCGGGTATTCGTCCGAAGGTCGTTTCAATATTAGTTATATATCAAATATACATATATAGACATAAAAGTACTTCCATATTCATACTTATCAGTACACCATCAGTAAGTTACCATCGGGTAACATAGGATCATACTACTACAATTTCTAGATAAATGAGTCAGTTCATTCATGAGTTAATACTTATTACTACGAGTACTTATACAACTATACTAGAAAGAGAACATATACAACTATACTAGAAAGAGAACATATACAACTATACTAGAAAGATAACATATACAACTATACTAGACAGAGAACATATACAACTATACTAGAACAGTTCATTTCATTACATATACAGGAATACATTAACAATTGTGATCCACTATATCGGAGCATGCCTTCATTGTCATGGCCCGAGTTGTAGCCAGAATTCTCTTAGAGGGAGAGCGTGAGTTTGCGTATAGATCTATACTGGATTGACTATCCTACACCTTGCTGCTAGCTACAGCCGGACCTGCAGGTCTGCGGGTGCCAAACGTCATTCTGTCATTACGACCATTCATATGTCATTGTTACCAGTCGATAGTATGGTGAAATTTATCACATGATACCTTAATATAAATTCGGTTTAAGGTAGTTAGTACAGCAGTAGTTCCTATAATACAACACTACAGTACTATATTAATTTACTCTTTACACAATTAGTGATCTTTTCACTTAAACAATTATGTACAAACTATATTTTGAAAATGATAGTTACACTTGAGTAAATTACACACTTTTACAACAAACGAGCATACAAAACAGTTAAGCCTTGGTAGAAGGCTACTTTAATAGAAAATATAGGTTTTTCTGAGAGTTTCAAACTGTTACAAACACTTACAAACATTTGCATACATTTTACAAACTTACACTTGATACATGTTCAAACGTTTTTGGATGACAAATACCGACACTAAAATACTTATGAACTCACCAGCTTAATGCTGATAAACTCTTTCAAAATAACTTGTATTCTCAGGTCATCAGTAGACAGGTACCGAGGCCAGCTTTTGAGAAGATGGAGCGCATCCAAGACTCATCTTATTATTTTGATATACATTATTTTTGGTGTCTATACTGTACAGAACACGCTTGTATTAAAATTATATATTTAATGCAATGGATGATGTTGTTTGCTTATTTACATTTACTGTGTTGTGATACTTTACATGACGTCCTCCGCCCCAGAACGTTTCCGCCGTTCTTGGTTTTTGGGGTGTGACAAATACCAAACCAAGGACCTGGATTCACTTGAGAGCGTGAGAATCAATCGATTAGGAAGTATCCCCACTTCTTGGCTCGATTATTCATGCCTACTCCTTGACTAAATTCAAATTTCGGGATGAAATCCCTCTAACGGGGGATGATGTGACAACCATCAAAATCCGGTCAAGTCAAAGTCAAATAAAGTCAACAAGTCAAACAGTCGACTCA